TGAAAAACCAACTCTTTCTCGGCCTCTTCTCTTCTAGGTTTTCTCTCTGTTTCGGGCCTTACCTTCTCTGTATTTGTCGAGCTCTGTATATAGCCGAGCATGTCTTGCGTATTCAGCCGAGAATTGTCGCCCTGTATGACCAAATTTTGGCCTCAAAAAGAAGGAAACAGTCTTCTCAATTTTCCTCATTTTGCCCTCTTTTCATTTCCAGCTGAATTCTTTTCCACATTTCCTTACATTTTTTTTCTTTTTTTCATTTCCTCTTTGGCCTAGAATCCCTTTCCTTTTTTATGCTAGCCGAATTTTCCTTATTTTCTTGTTGTTTTCTTTCCTAATTTGGAATGGCACCCGTTTACCTAGGCAAAGGGAAAGAGAGAAAGGACCGAATCCTTAGACAGAGGCCAGGTTCGTGTGGGCTTAATCTTGCCGTTCTCTAAAATTAAAGTTGGATAGCGTGTCCGACCAATTTAAACGAAAATTCATAACCTCGCCTATGTTTATAATCGATGTAGCCATGCTATTCCTAAAATAACAATGTCCCTAATTTTCAAATGCAGAGGAATGCAGCATAGAATAAAAATGCAAAACTATACAATATTGACATTTTTGTCTAGGGATCAAATTATGTCATTGTCAACACATTCGTTCCCTAATTTTATCAAATGCAAAAGAGACTATTGGGCGAATAAATGAAAGACCGTGCGATATTGATATTTTTGCTTAATATGTATATATAGTGATTGGACTTATCTATTGCCTTTTTTTGAGGTTTTACTATGTTGTGTGAATCATTTGTGGGATTAGCGAATTTAGTAATAAAATTTTCAATTGTGCCAATATGATTTCTTAATTCAGCTACACTTATTTTTTTATTATTTGTCCATATGATCCTAAACCTTTCAATTGTGTCAATCTAGTTCTAAATATCGTGATCATTTGCCAATCTAGTCTTAAACCTTTTGACGATTAGCAAATTTAATTTTTCTGGCTAATTTTGACTTGAAATTACTGACGTGGCCAAGTTTTGTAATTTTTTAATTTTCTAAATCTTTTTATTCTTTTTTTTCCCTTTTTTCTTCTGTTCTTTTTCTTTTCTTTTTCCCTTCATCGCTGCGTCAAGGCCCTTGCCAATGGCTAGTGGAGGGTAAAAGGAAAAAGAAAAGAAAAGAAGAAAAAAAAGGAAAAAAATAAGAACAATTCGTAAAATTAAAAAAACATGCAAAAATTGTCCATTTCAGTATCGGCCGTACCACGTAAGTTAGCCCGCACTGACTAGACAGCCACATTAGCTATTTCTAGCCAAAATTAGTAGGGAGGTCCAAATTCACTAATCATCAGAAGATATGAAACTAAATCGACACAATTAAAATATTTAGAACTAAATTGGCCAAATTGAAAGGTTTATGACTTTTTTGGTAAGTTTCCTAATTAATTAAGATTACAAGGTGCGTTGAAGAAATAGTTATTCACATTTTAAGTAGGGTTAATACCACGAAAAATTTCAAACTGGTACGTCTGTGATAATTTTACCCAAGACTAATTTTTTTACCACTAAAAACCCGAAACTAGTACATTTGTGACAATTTTACCCTCCGTTAGTTTCCGTTAAATTAGATTAATAATACAAAAAAATGACAAACTAGTATACCTGTGACAAAGGGATGGTAAAACATGAAACAGGTACATAACTTAACTACTACATATCATTTGACAAAACAATTTGACAGTAAAATTTAACAAAAATAAACTGATAGTAAATTTGTCACAGATATACCAATTTCGGATTTTTTATGGTCAAAAAATTAATTTGGGGTAAAATTATCGCGGATATATTATTTTAGGGTTTTTCGTGGTATTAACCCTTTTAAGTATTGCCTCTATTTTCAAGAGCTTTAACTAAAAGTCTAGACCTTCTCTCGAGATTCATTATGTTGAATCTTGAGTTGGGGTCGTTACATCGTAGAAGTTTACAAAAATGACTGAGTGAGATTGATCATCACCAATGGAGAATTAATCTACTTGAAGAAGCCGCAGTTAGCATGCACAAAGATTAAAATGACTACAAGTTGGTGCCCGAATCGAACTCCCTAAATCGAAACTTGAACTTACCATTTCTTGCATACAAAAGTGCCTTGCCGAGTCCGCATCGGTCCATCCTCCTTCCACACCTCCGGTGATCTTCCATCTTCAAATGCAAAAACCCTAAAATTAAGAATTTTTCCCCTTTTTTCCCTCTTCCTAGTGATTTATGATTTTGACTTAAAACGCAGTATTCATGTATAATTTTGTTAGATATCATTCTGAGACTAAGGGTACGTTTGGTAACATTTTTGTTCTCGAGAACAATATGTGACGCTCCAAAACATCACGCCTAACACATGTCTCTTATGGTTATTAAATAGGCAAACGGAAGCTTAATTTGAACATTTCTTAACCATGAAAATCACACAAGTATAATTAAACTACTTATACTTCTTTATTTACATTACTTATCATAATTACAACTCCATTCTATAGTTCATATAATCACAAAAACAAAAGTTTGGATAGGTCGAGGTTGCCTATCTCCATACTATATTATACTCCAAAATTCTGCATGTACAAAAGATTGATGATGTCATAGATCAATAACTTCGCCCTCCGTTACGAGACCATCGTCATCAATGTCAAAACCCCTCAACGGGCCAACTAACTCGCCGTCGAGATTCCAATACCATGCGATAAATCGATAGGAAATCCACTCCATAAAACCCACATCGATCCACGTAGAAGAACTACATTTGGTATATAGTACTTCAAACTCAAGTACAAGAAAAGTTTCATAAACACATTCATAATACATGAGAACTCCAAAACGCAAAGGCTGTGGAAGATCCATCCTACACGTCTGAAAAATAAAGGAATGAGTCGAGATCCAGTAAATAAAATCTCTAGTTTTAAGTTAGGAAAATCATCTTACCACTTCACTTTGCACAAAACAACGTAAATGCATATCAACTAGTAAGTATACATAAAATTTGAATAAATGTCATACCTTTCCCATTTATATATGCCACAATAATCTAATCACTTCAAGGATGAGATTTCCAAGTTCAGATTTAACAATTTCATTTACCAATTATACTACACTTTAAGAAAACAAATCACACACCTTTTGAACATGTACAAAGCCAGCAAAATGAATTCAACAATCACCATATCCACAACATTATAGCACATCAAAATGGCATATCTCAACAACTAAGCTTAAAAATGTCCTAACTTAACTCTAGAGTCTTTACTTACCTCGCGCAAAATTTGAACAAGCCTAAGTTAAAGCGCCCTTGTAGATATTGGATCGTGTAGTGGTGAAAGTATAGTATCTTTGAAAGTTGAAGGTGAAGAAGAGAGTTACGGCTAAGATGAAAAATTCCCTTTGATGTTACCAAGATGAAAATGATGTATAGGATTCTAGGTGGAAGAATGCATGCACTCATAGGTGGCAATTCTTCACTCAATCCACTGCCAAGTGTAAGAAATGAAGATATATTAGAGATGACCAATAGTCAAGGGCAATGATGGCTTATGGTAATATGTCAAATTAGTGCATGTGGCTAAGCTTAAGAGTAGCATGTGGCTATGCATTAAACCTCCAATTGCCACGTTAAGCTCTTGGTGTCTTTTAAGAGGAGTTTTTGTGGGAAATTATAAAGAAAACATAATCTCTTCTACCTTTAACACAATATTATAAATAATTAAATATTATCACTTATTAATTAAAGTTTAAACTAATAATATCACCCATCATCTACTAATACAATGGTAAATTAATTAACATTGCTTTACTATTAACATACACATCAACGCTTACAAATTTTTAAACTTTTAATACGTCGAACTCGGATTGATTACGTTCCAAAAAATCATTCTCCGCGCCCCTACAAAATTCACTATCCTACTAAAATTTCTACGTGTCCACCCGAATTCTATGCTAAATTATACTTAGCTTTTAAATCTAAGTATCATTACTGGAAACGAATATTTCTAAATATCACGTAAATACTATTTCGAAAATTCCGAATGTCTCACAATTGCTCTTCTGAAATAGTTTTTTCTTTTTAGTCCCTAGACAAGTTTTTGAGCAGAAGAACGCATTTGATAATTGTACAAAATTTCTATTATTGGAATAGAAAAAGAATAAAAAAGCGTTTGGTACAGCACTAAAAAAAATTTTATGATGTGGATTTTTTAAAAAAAATTTAAAGTTTTTTTTCCTCCCTTCTTCTTCCTTCCTTGTCTTTGACCGATCGCCTGCCATCATCGAAGCCCGACTACCGACTAGAGGAGGAAGAAGAAGGGAGGCAAAAAAAGAAGATGAGCTTGTTTCATAATTTATTTACGAAAACAAAGAAACAGATTTTTTTTACTTATTGTTTTTGTCCGAATCTATTATCTAACCACTTTTTTATTTCCGAGAATAGAAAAATTAACTGACACTACCAAATGGATTTTTATTCTTTTTCTATTCTGGAAAATAAAAAAATAGAAAAAAAACATGATGGTTACCAACACATGCCCTAAAAAGTCTATGGAACGAGCACAAAAATGCGCGCACAACCCGGATGTGTTCATCAACCCGGCCGATATTTCTCTAGCGACGAGCCAAGGGGTCATTCGACTCAAAGCCATCCGGGGTAAAATCGATCGAGATGAGGTCGACTCTGGGGCAATACTTTTTGAATCGGGTAATAGTTTCAAGGGGAGTGTTCCTTTTTTGGGAATTTCTCCTGATTTTCTCTTCTCACTTCCATTTGACAACCAAGAACTCAAAAATTTCCCCAACTTTGACCAATTTTCCCCATTCCCTCACATCATCAATCTGGCACACACCCTCTTGAGCAAAAGCTTTGGGAGATCAAAATAAGGAGGGAGAAATGGAGGGGATTGTGAAATTGGTGCAAGAAATCGGCGCACGATCGAACTTCCGCAGCGTTCTTTAAAAGAAGAAAAAGAAGAAGAAAAGAAGAAGTGAGTGAGAGAGAGAGAGAGAGCATAGGAGAGCGACCAAGAACGAAGAGAGAGAAAGAGAGGAGAGAGAGAGAGACAGAGACAGAGACAGGGGAGCGTAGGATTAGCAGCGATCGAGGGACGCAATCTAGTGAAGGCAGCTCCCCCCGCAGATCAAAGGGCCCTCCCGACACGAAGCTCGTCAGCAATTCGTCCTTCCCCCGCCCGCGCGACGACGGAACTCGGGTTTTCGGAGCGAACATCGGCCAGCTGGGTGTCCGAAGCTCTGCGCGCGCGCGTGCCCAAGATTCGGCTCCGCCATTGCTCCCGTCGGGCACCGCCCGCCCTCTTGAAATCCCCCGCCGGCTTCGCGGGTCGGAGTTTCGAATCAATCTGCGGACACCCTTTTGCGCGTACGCTCTTCCTCCCTCGCTCGCGTCCTCCATTGTGCTCGCTCTGTGCGATTGGGTGGGTTCTTTCGTTCGTTGGGGGCTTTCTGCTCTGTTTCTTGCTTGGGATTTCCCGGGCTTTCCGATCTCTCGTGCTGGACTTTGATTCGAAGGTCTGGAAGTGAGTAGCTTTCTGAGTGGGGTGTGTGTGTGTGTGGCAATGGGTGCTTCTTGGCACGGGCGAGTAACTTTAATTTGATGTTTTCTGTAGCAGAGACGGAGCACCGCCATTGGATGATTCAAAATTTAGGGTTTCTGATTCTTGCGGTCGGGTGGCGTGGCTTGATTTGAAGTGGCCGAATGTGCCGGAACCTGCTTCGCTCGCGAGGTTTTTCTGTCTTTTGTTGAAGATATGAGACTTGGTTTTGCTCCGTGTTGTTCCTGGGTTGGTCGATTCTGTGTTCTTTGGAAACTTAAGTATCACTTGTGAGTTTGTTATTGGGAATTCGGGATCATGATACGTAGTGGAGAGTCTTTGCGCGCCCCTTTTTCCCTGACAAGTTCCAGTCGGTCGTTCTTGCAATGAGTGGTCTTCAGATGAGAGAATTTTGGGTTTCTGGGAGGTGGCGAGAACTTTGATTTTGACTTTGATTGGGTGCTGCATTTACTCAAAAGTGCTTCTTGGATAACTCCATTTCGAAGAAATGCAACTGCAGCAGAGCTCGAGAATCGATCTAGTTGACCTGAAAGCTCAAATAGTCAAGAGGTTAGGAGTAGAGAGGTCAAAACTGTACTTTTATCATTTGGATAGGTTTTTGAGCCAGAAGCTGAACAAAGTTGAGTTTGACAAGCTATGCTGTCGGGTGCTTGGGAGAGAGAATCTTTCACTTCACAATCAATTGATACGGTCGATACTGAAGAACGCATTCCAAGCCAAAATTCCACCTCCATCCATTTCTCCAGATCCAAAAAGTTCACTTAGGAGAGAAGATGGACATGAGCAAAGTTTGTCGGTCATCCCGAATCAAAATCCAAATGTTTCTGTGTGGTCTAATGGTGTCCTTCCTCTGTCCCCTAGAAAGGTTAGGTCTGGAATCCGTGATCGCAAATTCAAGGATCGGCCAAGTCCTTTGGGACCAAATGGCAAAGTGGATTGCTTGTCTCATTCTGCAGGTATTGAAGAGAGTGGTAGGAAGGTTGTCAGGGAGAATGGTGAGTTGACCCCGCGAGATTACCAGAGACCATTGCAGCATATTCGGTCAGTTACTCGGCCTCCTGAGGATGAAACGGAAGGATCAATTCAGCAACCAATAAATAAATATAGGGTACACGGCAAAGATCAGACACTTGTTCCTGTTCTTGAAGAAAGGGAAGATGTGGAGCAGGTACACATTTTAGATTCTGCAAGAAATCCTCTGGTTGCCCCCCTTGGTATCCCATTCTGCTCTCCTAGTATAGGTGGCGGCACTAGAAGTTTTCCTGTGGGAAGCAATGGTGATTATGCTAGCTGTTACGATTATGGTCAGCTGTTCGACTCAGAAACACTGAAGAAACGAATAGAGCAGATTGCAGCAGGTCAGGGAATTGGAGGGGTCTCACAAGATTGTGCGAATATCTTGAACAGTTCTTTAGATGTATACTTGAAACAGTTGATCAGGTCTTGTGTTGAGTTGGTTGGAGCAAGGTCCGGAAATCCAAAAGGGCATCCTCTTCAGAAGCTGCAGGTACCAGGAAGGGTCAGCATGGGCATGTCCCAATCAAAAAATCACTTGGCTACACGAGGTAGTAGCTCTGTAGTAGGAGGCATGCAGGAAGAGAGTTCGCCAAGCTCTATATCCTTGCTTGATTTCAAGACTGCAATGGAGTTAAACCCACAGCAACTTGGAGAAGACTGGCCATTGCTGCTTGAAAAAATTTCCATGCGTTCATATGAGGAATGAGATGAGATGGTCTTTGTCAATATATTCTTCTTAGACAGTCCATTGCGCTCAATAGAAGTCTTCAGAAAAGTGGCTGTGTTCTGATCCCTCGTTCTTGGTCTTATCAAGTACGTGCCTATGTTTCAATCTGCATTTGCCTGCTGCAGTGAATGGGGGAAGTCAGAATTAAGTGACAGAGGTGCTTCATTGAAGATCCCTTTGTTAATTGCTCTGTCAAACGTTTTGCGTTGTGGTTGGCTCGTTTGCTTAGTCAGTGCAGAGCTCCTGCTCTCCCGCAACGCATTGTCCATGAGAATGAATTCTAAGGATCTTCGAGGTTTATCTTGCATTGATTTATAAAGGTAAACCCTGTGCAGTAGTAGAGTTTCGCAGTTTCTAATGTTTACTTTTGTAGATTGTCAAATAGTTGATCAACTTTGATCTATATGTTTATTGACATTTTATATCATATCATAGGATTTAGATCATTGTGAAGATAACCTGGATCAACCAAGGGTTGGAGACTCCAGATTATTTAAATACTTTGCAAAGATGGAGAATGTATCATCAAGGGGTTGCCATTCGTCTGGCAGTGTTCATTTGAAAAGCAATTGCTCTATCAGTATCGTGAATGTGCAAAAGTGAAGGCGTTAAAGCATTGATTTCATGAGGAGATCAAATAGTGTGCTTTGACTAGAAAACTATCATTCAGGTGAATCTTCATTCTGGCTGGGCCTTTGAAACATCTTCGCCATTTAATTGAAACTGTTGAAAAATCGGCGACGGCTTTCGAGCTGTATTAAGTGCATAATCAATAAAAGAGTTCCAAAAAATTTTGGTTCAGCTGTATAACGACAGTCAGTCACCCTTTCTCATGAGGATTTTGCACACCAGGTTGACATCCTTGACACTGCTAAATACTATGAAATGTGAATGAGTAAATGCAATTTCTGATGGTACGAGAATCTGTTGAGACTTTTACCAATTCCTGAAGGTCAATTGAATATAAAGATCTCCATATAGCGAGAACATTTTATGTTCAGTTGCCTTGTGAGAACATCAAATAGCAATGAATCCATCGTCACTTGTTTATTTTTCCTTAAGGATGTTGTCTTTTTATCATGGATTCATGGGCTTTGCACGAAGGATTAAATTTCATAGTTAGAAATCGATTTCTTTTTCCTTTCTTCCAGATGCTATTCTCTGTATAATTCATGCAAGCTACTTTTTAACACTTAAAGTTGTGCAGTCTCGACGTAGAAATGTCATGTTCAAACAAATTTAAGTCGCCCGGAGTCTATAGCTGCTTCTATTTCCCTATCTTCCTTGAGCTTCTCTAGTTCTATTTCAGTATGTAAGAATTGTTAGCTAACCCGAGTGCCTTCTTTTATATCAGGAAGAAGGGTGCATACTGGAAAAGTGCTCCCGATGTTACGTCAAAACTGAGCAAACATCTCCCCATTTGGGAGCATGTACTATCATCCCTACAATCACTTGTTTTAAATAGGTACATTTAGATTTTATTGAAGTCGAGAGATTAATAATTGTTCAATTTAAGACCGTCTAACCCCGGCTTTTGCTATACTGAATGCATTCCCTGTCTTTCTCAGATCCTGAAACTAAAAGCTAATTAATGTAGTCGAAGCTTTCACTTGTGAATTTGTATGATATCGCAAGTCAATACTGTCAATCCTTGTCAGGTCATACTACAAACGGAATCAGAGTGAACTCAGCATTTGGATCATGAGTCAACTCGCTGCGCTAGTTAAAAACGTGTGTTGTCTCGCGCTGAGTCGTTCTCATTTTCGAGTTGCTTTCTTCTCTAATGGGCCTCCTAAGAAAGCCTGAAGAAGATGCTCAAGCCATCTCAATATTATAGCCCACCGACCTTTAAACATCGTTTAAGAGCGCTTTTCCAACACTAAATGATGCTTTATAAAAGCCATGGATGCTCACAACCTTCGCTAGGTAGTCACTGTGGGAACAACCTGGTGGAAAATTATGAGCAGGGATGGAAACAGCCTTGTTTTATAAAGCCATGTAGGCTGACAAAATTCACTAGCTAGTCGACGAGGGACAGTTCAATCTCATCTTTTACATTTCTTTCATCTTTGATAGACACAATCAACTCCAATTAACCCCTATTACAAGTTATTAGTTTGAGAGAACAACCCCGAAATCTTGATATAAACCATTGGCTTTGAAGAAGATCCCCAACGAAGAATTTCTGTCTGTCAACAATTTTGAGTTTTATCATTTGTCATGTATTAAGATTTGTATATTTAATTTGATTTTGTTTGTGGTTATTGCATAGTATAATGGTTTCTTTTGGTTATTAGATTGAGTGATAAAATTGTTCATTGAGTGTATTGTTAATTTGATCCAATCTAAAAATCAATTAATTTTGTGGCATACATGCTTTTCATATCTAACTACATATCCTAAGAATATTTTTTGAAGTTTGCAAGATATTGTAAATCTGTGGTTCTATAAAAGATACAATTTAGCAAGCACCGGAGCACTTTTAGTAGAAGAGGTAATTTTGACTACTTTGGTCTAAATTTACTTACATTGGAGAACATACAATTTCTGACGGTCTCCCACTAGACTTGCATGCTTAATTTTCTGGTTGTTTGGCAATGACCTACAAACCTAATATAAACATAGACATCGGTGTATAGGTTTCAAATGTAACATATGTCGACCTTATGCATAGAATGTACTTTTATATTTAGACATATATAAACTACAGAAAGCCTACCCATCATTGAAAAGATTACATTTCATCCACTTGGCCTAACTCGAAAGTTTGTTACATTACCGATGAAGAAACCCTGAATTACATTGCCATATGTTTTTACAATGAGTTGGGGAATCGCGAATCATTTATTCTTATCTATAGCAAATGTAAGAAGGATAGACCAATCAATTTACAGTATTTGGCATGCCGTTTTATCTGTCAAATCTAAAGCCGTGCTCAGTTAGACGTGAAGTATGGGCAGGGTTTTTTTCTTGCTGGGCAATGAAATGTGGTCAATTGAGGATAGCGTCTAACCGATGACGGTTGGTTTTGTGAAATTTCCCTATCCTTAAGTAGACTCTTTTGGATCTCTATCTTCTCCCAAAATGCGTCTTCAGTGTAGATGAAGCAAATCAACAGACATTGTCCCTTAATAGAAACATGTTCTCTGAAAATTATAGTTCTGTGTAAATTGGTAGGTTTTGTGTATTCTTTGTGTCAGATTTGAGATTGAATGATTGAGTGTAATTATTGCGATGATGCTTTAATAGATGCACAATGGCATGTTTTGCTGGCTCAGTTTCTTAAGTGAGACCTGTCACCAATGGTCGTTTGATACACATAGAATTGATTGATCCCCTTATCTGCCCAATTTGGCAAGGAATTTGGACAAGTGTCATATTCACATTATTTATGGGAATGACAATTATATTCATGTACTCCGCATACTTATATGGGCGCGATATATTCATTTTTGACAATTGTTGTCTGGTGTCTTTGCCTATAGTTTCTTCAGTGGACATGGGTTTCTGTTTTTCATTTTGTGAACTTTGAATGGACACGGTTTCTCCAAGTGCATGAGCATTCAGATAGGACTTATTCACCCAGGTTTGAATAATGAAGTATATTGAAAGCTGTGGCCCAGGCATTTCTCAAGGAGACACCTTTTAGAAATGTACACTCATGACTTTTCAAATGAAATGTTCCTTTAATTAATCATTCACTTTAGCTCTAGAGGTTGCCGTGAAAAATATTCTTCAAGTTACATGCTCAAGGGGAATAGAAAGAAAATAGCAAGATTAAGTGATAAGGTCAGAAGCTGAATGCAAGTAAATAATGATAAGTTGAAGGGCACAAATCAGTTTGTGAGAGGTGCTTCTCTCAATACAGATCCCTCGTGAAGTATATACATGGGCTTGTGTGAGCATGGATATTAGTAGTCCAGCATTCTGCCTCATGAAAAAAGAAAAGCTTATCTACATGCTATGGTTATACCAGACTATAGCGAAGAAATCCAGCGAACATAATAAATGGAGTGATTATAAGTATATGTGTTTTTTGAGCTTGAATGACTTATGCTAACACCCACAGTGGAACGTCAGTCTTATAGTGATATAGGATTTTGATGCTGAACCCCAGCATCCTGGAAACTGGGTGTTGTATGAGTGGTTGGTTAAGGACACTAAATTTCCAGTTTCCTCAGGCTAGGCAGATAGGCATATCTGCTTTTTCCTTATATGGATACGTTTAGATCTTTAATTGCTATTTAAGCATATTAATTATCAATTCTCAAACATTCGATTAGACTGGTCCACAGATGAAGTGCTTGTGTTCCTTAATCTCTCAAGTAACCATGTTGGGTGTCGTCTTAGTGTGTTGTTGGATTTCCTTGTGTGTCCACCGATAAGGAATAAACAGAATTGGTGCTACACATGTAAAATTTCTCTTATCCAATGGATTTGGTGTTAATTATGTCATTCAGATGCGACATCAATGTACTGATTATGCCTAACATGGTTGTTAAAGATGCTTCTTGACTGGAGGGTTATGCAACCCTACCTCCATTGTTGTAGGTTTTTAGTTGTCTTTCTTCTATGAGACATGCAGTAGATGTCCTCTATTCACCGAACATTGATGATGTGATCTTTACTATTTTGGCAGAAAGAGAAGGATAGACAATTTTGGGCTACATCCTTGGCTGACTGAGGTACCCAAGTTGTGATTACTCTCCTGATAATAAAAAGTCAGGTTACAGAGAAATGCATATGCATACAGATGAGATCTCATGTTTGCGTGGTCGGACTCTAATACCAAACAGGAGTCACCGAATCAGCGGCTAGGTGGTTGAGGTAAACATGCAGATGGGCTTCAGCTGAAATTTTTGAATGGCCTTTGATGTTTTGGCTGTTCATTCACCTTGCCTTTCCTCTTTGGTTGAATCTTGCCCTGACTGTTAAGGTAAACAAGATTTGACATTTTGCCCTGACTGTTGCACTTATGTAGTATTTAATTTTATTCTTATTGTTCTGCTTGAGCCACTCCTAATATAAATGTACAGTTTGTAGATATAAACCGCATGCTCTGTATCCAATATAAATAATCTACAAAATGTCAAATCTTGTTATTTTGCCCTACTTAGGGAAGGGACTGTTGTATCGAGTAAATGAATGAGGCAGACATCTAATTGCACATCTCTCCTTGGTGATCCTTGCTGATTTAAATTATTAAATTGCCACGCTGCCAATACGAGAGTAACTTTTATAGTTATGTGATAGGCTGGTGTGGCGACAGAGTTTGTCGCAGTATATAATGTCTTCTTATCCTGAGTGGTGACTGGCCTCGGCAAGCAGCAAACTAATTATGTGAAGCTTCACTCTATCTTCATTCAAAGCTTTAACATGAGATCAAGTGAAAGCTTCATATTAACTTGTAGACAGAGAGCTAAGAATGCTAGAATACTAGGGAAAGAATTTGAAGTTCCGGTGTTGGTGAAGCGCTGAAAGATGAAAATGTGCAGAAAAGTGTTTTTGAGTAAAATTGGTGTAGTGTAAATAGAGGCCAAGAAGGCGGTGTTACTTCTAGTCGCAATTCCCTTATAAGATTCATCTCCATAGGCTAATTGTATGAAGCTTGCACTAGGGGAAGGAGTTTATTCCTGGGTGAACTCATGTTTTTGATACAGGTCAGTTTGGTGTGCGGATTGTTGTAGGAAACCAACATGTTAATTGCCAAAACGAAAATTCCATCTGGAGTAGTTAGTGTTTGGAAACATAATTTGAGACTCAGAAAACCCGCAGGCATGCTGCTTTGTTCCTTGTCTTTGAACGGTTGATACTGATAATTGCTCACTCGAGTAAAATAACTCGGACCACCTAAGCTGAACAGGACAATGGTCTATGGAACAGCTGATACAAGGTCATGTATGATTGCATTGAGGCAGTTCAAAGTTACCGGTCAGGGAACTCATAGGTTGCATCAACTAATTCTGAATGTATTCACTTCGTTTTAGTTGCTAATTTTTCGATTGCATCCTACACTCAAGAAAGGATAACAGGATGAGGGGATCATGGTTCTCTTTTCCTTCTTGCTTCTTTCCAATTCAATCCAAGTTGCTGGCTAGTTCATTGGCTTGGCTGTCAGTCTTCTGCAGTAAGCCGGTTTATCTTACGAATATGTCTTTCCAATTCAATCCAAGTTGCTGGCTAGTTCATCGGCTTGGCTGTCAGTCTTCTGCAGTAAGCCGGTTTATGTTACGAATATGTCGCTTATTACCTCGATGCAAAAGTGTAAAGTTTACGCCCTTCTTGTGATTGGAAGACATGCTTGTCTAGGTGACCGATCTGTCGATAGGAGATTATCTCATTCCTGGCAAACGAGAACACGTTCGCTGGATCTTCCCCAGGCAGTATGTATCACTCCCCAATGCCCAGTATAGTTGGACTAAGGCTGATCATATTGAGACCCGTAGCCATCGGCCACATCTTAAATCTTATAGACGTCCGAGGTCCAATTTCACCATATAGTTGGCTGACAAGAACGCTTCTGCAGGCAGTACTATCAAGCTCTTAATCATTGAACTTTATCTACAGCTAATTCTTAACATAAGCAATGAACCGTGTCGAACGCAAACGATGATTGGTAATAGCTACAGCAATTGAGGGGATCGCTGAGTTTGGTAGCATATCAACAGGTCATAATCTTTATATGACAATTACGGACACACGGCAAGTTTAGGCAAAGGAAAAGGGTTTAGGCGACAGTTTGCACTACCAACTGGTATCGAAGAACCAAAAAGAGCGGCAAAATGGCATCTTCCATGTACAACGCCCTTCGCTCTTAAAAATGCACGACTATTAAGGAATTCCAGGTACCATTCACCCTAAAACAAAACCATAGAACCAACCACAAATGGCAAAGGCTGAAAACATCAGACGTTGTAACGCAGTCTTTTTCATGGAACGTTCATCCTCTGCCACTAAGAGCCTAGAGAGCAGGGTTTATTTGATTGAATGAGTTACCAAAAATATCCAATATGTACACGGGAGAGTGGGAGGCAGAGAAAAGTACTTTCCTTTACAAAGAATATCAGACCACCAGATTCAACTTGTCAGCCGTGGCGGGGAAGATGAGGGCGAGGGTTCTGCCGAGCCCTTACAAATAGCGCACCAGTTCTTGAGCCGCAGCCACTGTTGTATACAGGACACGTGATACACATGTTCACAGGCCAACCTCCCAAGTTCATCTCCTGCTACATACTCCTCCTGTGACCAGTATACAAAATTATCACGATACAACCACCACAAGAAGATAAGTAAAAAACATGCTAAAATTAAAAAGACGGTCCGGCAGTTGCAATAAGCAATTAGGTATGTGGAACAAAACTAGGTGAACATCTCGGGCCTGCTTAAAATAATACCTCAAACTGCTGTTTTTTATTCTTAAGTTGAGCAGCTATTAAAAATTGAAAACGAATTGACTGTTTCATCACAAAATTAAAAGGTTAGCAGTTTACCACGTTCAAGTTCTGTCCAAAATGAACTGTCAATAGAAAAAATGGTTTGGAAATTTTTCTTAAAAACTCACCAAAATTGAAACACCAGAAGACAATTATTTGAGACAATGGGTCATATCCAAATTGTTCTCAAACTATAAGAAGACAAGCATGAACAATTGCCTTAAAAGGCACTTTATAATGTCAAACTAGAAAGAAAGTCTCAGTACCTCGAGTTGGGATCTTTCCCCAATAGAATCTACAACTCCATCGAAATATAACAGTTTAAATCATAATCACTGAAACGCATTTCTACTTCAAAGCAACTAAAACTCGGTTCTTTTTCATCCACAAATACAAACTTTGGCAGATAATTCACACAACCCTCCCATCAATTAGCCCATTTTGGAACACATTCATGATGGCCTTGTGGGTTGCTGACTAGGACAGCAACACCAATAGGCCAATCTATTCAGAACGTAAATAAATTTGGCTGACCCAATTAACCTTGTGCATTCTATAGAACATATCCTAGAGTCAAGCAATTTCCACCTATTAAGGCCTTAGCACCAACAGATCAAACAAACATTTTTAGTTTTTTTTTTTAATCTCAAATACTACCTGGTAAAAAACACAAAATATCAAACGGACTTCTGCATAAAGTCAAGCCTCACTAATCATCCGTAACAACAAAAAGATTGTGCTGCAAAACCTATTAACTTCAATATTCACCTGACAGATGCTGCATTTGACATCATCATTCTGCCCACTGGCAGAAGCTGTAGGATGGTATAATTCTTTCTTGATACACTTCACCAATGATTCTTCTGTCAGGGCAGTGCTTACGGTACCCATCCTCTCCTCTAGAGCCAACAGGTCCTGAAACCAAAAAAAGCAATATGATGTCCTGAACATGAGACCAAAGGAATAAAATTGATTTGTAACACAATTGTAATGCGTAGACAAACCTCATATGACATATTATCAATATCCAGTCTCATATCTCTGTGTTGATCATAGAAGTTCATCCCGTTAAGAAATAAATTGGTTTCCAGAGCAATTAATTGCTGCAAGAGGCCAAAGAAAGAAAGCGAGTTTTATAACAGCCATAACACAAATAGAATCTGTGAAAACATTAGATCCACTCTCTCTTCTCAAAGTTAACCATAAAAGTGATGCACTAGAAAATATATTGCTTTTTAGTGCACGTTGCTGCCGCAAGATGGTCATAGAAAGTTGAAAGCAACAGGCAACTCTGTTGGGCATCATAACCTACAAAATCTACCTCATAAGTCAGTTCTTCATCTTGTTCAATCCTCTCGAGAGCCAACAATACCTGCACAACATTGCCAAGTAAATGATCAGGGAATATATCATGTAAAAGAAACCAACTCATTATTACATATGATTATCTAATGTGGTACTAAACACCTCATGCCCTTGTTGAACTATTCCCGACCCCCAACCCACCCTCAAACCTGGCCACTCACTCAAAATAAAAACTAAACATAAGGAAAGAGACTAGATCAGCAATGTCAACAGCAGCTGATAATCACACCCAACCAGTTTCATCCTCCTGTAAGCTTTATATTAATATAAGCTTAAGGACACTGCTGCTGCTGCTGCTGCTGCTCCTACCATGACCATAATTTTCATATCCCTCTGGATAACATAATTTGGACATTTTACAACTATATACTCTTGTCTGTAAAAAGCATAGTGTATAGTGGCTTGTCCAAAAGGAATAGTCCTGCGTCAACATTGTGCGTAACTTTATCACCCTCAACTAGTGGTTTTGATTTCAATGCAGGCTAAATTTGCATTAGACAAGGCACAGTTTCCGGACTTTCTAGACCTTTGTGAACTTGCAAAATGGCAAGCTTATCATATACATTGCTTTCACAAATTAACCTTTATTTACCCACCCCATTTCAAATCTTGATGTTTTTGATAAAAAAAACAATTTGAACCTGACAACCACGTACCTCTGCAATACCATCCATATTGTAATGTTGAAACCTATCCTGATTCATCAAGGAGCGGCTGATGCCAATTTCAGCAAGACCAGATGGTATCGCACGCCGTGAACTCTCGCTGCTACTACTTGGCCGACTGTATGTAGACGCGCGACCAGAGGCAGATTCGACAGAAAAGTCGCAATGTGAAGAGGAAGCATTTTCAGCTGCTATTGGAGATTGATGGGCCTGCATGGTCATAACACGGGACCTGTTTCGAGACCGGCTCAAATTACCTTGATATGAACCCCTTGGCTCAGCATAATTATTCGACCTTTGAGTCCTCAAAGACGTGACACCACTGTCCCGATTAAGAGCCCTGCATCTTGCTCTTCTTGACTCAGATATGGATATGCCTGGTTCAGAACTCGAAAATTGTCCTTCTAATGGTGGTCTGCCAACATTCTTACCCCTAGTTGAAGAACTAGCTTCACCTTCAACATTCGACTTCTTTATCACATCCTTCTTTCTATTAGGTGTTGGATTTGATGGTGGTCCATTGGAAGGGATGACGTTAGCTGCTGAATTACACCTAATGTTTCTCAAACCACAGCGGCTAAGATTAGTTCTTGCAGGTTGGTTGATGCTTCTCGATGCCATGGAAACGGAGGAATTTGTGGGACTATCTGTTTTATCAGAACTTATATCGAGGGAATTGTTGTCGATAGATCTTGAACTCGATGCTGCACTCGAACTTCCCATCTCCGTCGGTACAACTTCCCTAAAATCAGCACCTCTTTGGATCTTTCCTGGTGGCGGGTTGACCTCTGGAACATCAGGCTCGTCATGAACACTGCTAGTTTCGGATGAATCAGAATCTAGCTGAGAAGATGATTTCTTTTGACGATCCACGAAGGATTTCCTTTGACTGCTTGCTGACATATTACTTCTGGAAGAGCTCCCCACTATTTCTTTCCCACTAGTTAAAGAACGAAGCGAGGGCCTTGTATATCTGCACTTGTCTACGCAGGCAGTTTGGGTACCTACTGCGTTAAGTCTGCTGCTACATCCCAACCTGCTGCAAATTTGAGCCTTTCGAGCCCTACTACTTGCCGTATCCCTCATAACCAAACTGGATCCCCTAGAAGGTGCAGAAAACTTGTGAAGAGCTCTCTCTCCGGAAAATTCATCCATGTTAATAGGTATCCAACGTTCAAAACCTGCATGGATCAGCAAAACATATTGCCTATTATCATTCTAACCTTCTATCAACAAAAGCCAACAATTAGAGGGCAAAGCAAAATTTATAAATAACATGTTCAAAGAAAAACATTCATTAGCAAATCCATCAGAAAGAGTATTATCCTTTCCGATAACTGAGACAATAAAATACTATGATACAGCACACATATGTGTGAAAACCTGCATGACAAAACATGCCATGCTGACATAAACTCTCCCAGCATACAAAAAAGCTTTGATGATGTCAATTACTATGATGAAAGAACAAACAAACTGGCAAAGTCCACATAGATAACAAAAATCCTATGCAACCTACATCAGCTTCCACCAAACAGTGGAATGTTTCCAGGCCCAGAGAAAGGTTTGCATGTTGCAGGCATAAACCAGCAATTCGACAAGACGAAGGGCCCAGAGAAAAGCTTGCAAGTTGCAGGCACAAACCAGCAATTTGACAAGACGAAAACATCCTCTATTGCATTAAAATATTACACCAAGAAGAACAAAAAGAACCACAATAAAAGAGCAGAGAGAATTGCAGAGCGCAGACTATCTAATGAGATGGTAGCAGGTACAGACAACACCAGCCCCCGATTAAATTTACCCAAAACAGCCTGAAAACTGAACTAACTACATGTAATCGCCGCAGAAAGGCTAAAAAATGAGAGTAAAAGAGCACGGAGGCAAAGCAGCTTCATTCAAAGAGACATGTACCCCAATATGCAGATACGAAAAGGAAACTCAATCACTTATATTTAAAACCCTATCATACGCTAATTAAACAGCGTTCAAGCTACCCAAGTTGACTGAAAGCCTCCTCAAGTGCAAGCAGAGAAATCAGAAAGCCATCAAATGAGCAAACACCGGGTGTGCGCAAAATCAGACTACCGAATAGCACATAATCATCTGAAACTCCACAAACCAACAGATTATGTGCAACTACATATTTCAGAGGCGTTTACCACAAGACATAATCATGCCATAGAACCAGATAGTTTCACATGTAAAGGGTCAAGGAGGAGAGCTCACAGGATGGAAACCTCTTTTCATCTACACACAGCAAAAAATCAGCCAGAAAAGGAAATCCCACGAAGCCAACCCTCTCAAGAAAACAACCACGCAAGGAGAGAAAAAAAAAAAGAGAAAGAGCAAGCAATATAAGAGACCCAGATGGCCACAAACCCGCAATTCAACCCAATAAAGTCGGACCCTTTGTTTGTTTCTTTTTTATTTTTAAAGCAAAAGACTCGTTTGAACCATTCCATAAAACCGCAAAAATCACTTTTCTCCGTGATTCAAGCGCATGAAAAGCTGAGCACCTCTCGACTCTTCGGACGACGAACGATTGCAAAAACAGACCCAACAACAAAAACAACAACAAAATCGCCGTCGCTCCTCGCCACACGACAAGAAGCCGAAAACCGAAACCACCACCACCGCCACCACCACCATCGCCGCCGGCGACTACCTCACCCGAGCCGCAACGATCACGTCGACCCAGAAAACCATCCGACGACGGGGAAGAGCGCAAGAGGAACAACCCACGCCGAGAAACCCGACTCCGGAACGGAATTCCAGCGCAAAACCCGAAAAAGGGTCGGACCCAGATAAAAGGAAGGCAAGAGCAAAAGAACCCAGAACTTTCATCTACCTCTCCGGCTCGTCAAAGGGCTCTCTCGCTTCTTCGCGTTTGCTTTCTTGGGGCGGAGAAAGAAGGAAGCTTTTAGAGCGAGAAAAAGCAATCGCTCTAGAGAGAGAGAGAGGAGGGGACAGAGAGGGGGGAAGCGTAAACGTGTGCGAATGATCCCAAGGCTTAAAAGCGTCGCCGAAACCACGAATCCTCGGTCGCTTGCACTGTGCAAGTTCCCACCCCGAGGAGTCCGAACGCGACAAGGACACACGAGTAAGTGCTGCCGCCCTCCTGTTCATGGGGTTTCCTTCTGGTCGAATCTGGGCCGTCGGATCGGGTTCCCCGGTCGGGTCAAAGTCAATCATCGACGGCCCATGGTTGCTCCCACGTCACCTTCAAAGGACCCTTCTAAATTTATTTAGTATTTAGGGATTTTTTTTTCTCAAAAATATTTTGTTTTTTTTTATTTTTCTAATTTTTTTTCGTGGACGGAGCAGCATGGGCCCACCAAACTCAATGGGCCGCCTTTCCTCTAATTTATTTTCCTTGCCCGTCTCTTCTTTTATTTATTTATTTATTTCCTTTTTTGGCAGCACTTATCCTGGTTTTGGGATTTTCCCTTTCCTTTTCTTTCCTTTTTGGTTTGCATTTCTTGCAGTTTTGGATAATCAGATCTTTCTCTTTTGGCCATAGAAATCGAAATATATTTGAATTAAGATATTATCTCCGTGTATATTGCGCAATTACCGTATTATTAGGTTTTATGGGCCGACCATCTATATATATCTAGGGACGATTTTTTGGTTTTTTGTCGAAACGCAAGGGACGGTTGATGAGCACGGCTTTTAAGGGTGTGAAAGGAGGGAAGAAAGTAGTGAACGAGGAGGATCCGAGCATTTGGTCAATGATCAGCTCCATTAGATTGATCTCCTATGATGGCTTAATTTTCCACACAAGTCCAAATTATGGTTTGACCCATTTGAAAAAGCACTTGGGTAGGAGTTGTATAATTCATTAGTGCAATGATTAGGTTAGGCAATTGCTACTTTGGTGATGTTGAAATGATCTTTTGTATACATATGGCCTAAAGGATAGACCCATAAGTTGCCTAATTGATCTTATTCCGTCTTGATGCGGCTTGAGAATATAGGATTCATCGTATAAATAATCTTTTCTAGGGAGTCTAACTTCCTGATGGGATGCGTTATATAACGGTCGAACTTTCACAAAGAAAAACTGGGTATATATGTACCTATTTTTCAATTCTTTTATTCGATATTCATCCAATTTTTCCATCTTCTGTTTGGAAAGATTGCTCAATAAATCTTTAGTTCCCCAATTCTCAATTAAATTTTAAGCTCTGACAGATAATTTCATATTATTAATATTAATAATAAATCTTCTAAGTTTGGTTTTTTTTTTTTTTCATTTCGTTGATTTTTCCAGTGAAGCAGTCTGGGGTGATCCACTTGACTTTTAGGTGAAGAAAGTGACCATTTACATTATAATATAATAAATGCATCTTATAGAAAGAATTGCACTTTTAATCCCATTTTACAAAAATGAGAGCCCAACACAAAAAAAAAAAGCTCAAAATCATTACGTATAAGAAAAGGTACATACTTTACAGTTAAATAAACTCGAATAAACAATAATATAATATTCTTAAAAAGAAAATGGATTATTATGAAGCCCACCACCATGGCAAATATATACATACACATTCACCGTTCGAACGAGTGACATGTGTATCCAAAGCTGATTTTGTAAACGAAATTCTTTCACATTGTCAACGACCGAATGACGAATGTAATCGGTAATAGACCTAACAAAATCGCCCGAAAAAATAGCTTCTCTTTCATAATCTTATGCTTCTCTTCTATCTTATTCATCCTTGGAGAGGCTTACATGTTTGTCTCCAAGTGACTTTTGAAGCTTTTTTGGACGCCGGAGGTGACTTTTTGTGGGTAATCTCCAAAAGGGGAAAACTAAGTTTTAAATTAGATAAAGAGATAAGAACAAAAGTGACCACAAACCTACCAACCACTTTATACACATTCCATACCAAATTCCGGTGTGTCCACCACCACCTTCCCCTTTATTCTGCAATTAAGGTCACGGGAACCACTAGCAATTGAGCAGCTAAAGATCCTATGTGTCTCCAAAGGTTGTTTGATTAGGACCTTTGTCTTCCAAGTTATTGCTTCGAATTATGCATATTTAATCGTGTGATGTTGGTTTAGTACTTAGGTAGTCACTGCACGGACCCCGTAGCAGACGAGGAGAAGAAGCCGGAATGCAGTACGTAAGCTCAGAGCACCAATAAGCCTGATTAGGGAAAATTTTGCTAGGGTCACCAACTTTCAATTCAGTTTTCGATCATATCATTGGACTTTCGTTTCAATCATCTAATGTATCGAGCTTTTTATGTTTCACCAAATGTTGATGCACTTTGGTGAGAATTTGACGAATTTTCCGACAAAGACTAACACTTCCTTTTTGGCATATCGTCAGAAGTGCTATACATGCCACTAATGCGACAATGCGAGTTGAACTCAATGAGATATATGGAGCACTCGAAAAGATGGTATAGTTGATCCAAAATTTATATGAATTGACACGTCCTTATCTACTGTTAACAAAAAGTTTCAGCGATAATACAAATAGAAAAATATGAATGACCCTTTTCTTATATATATAACCTAAACAACACAGGGAAAGTAATATAAAAAGGAAAAGGATATCCATTGTTTGACCCAAACCGCACGACGAAAACTTCAACTCCCCAATCGATCTCGAATGAACAAAAACGTGCGATCCTGTAAACTCGTGCAACTCCATCGATGGAAGAACCAAGTAGAGACGTTGACTAAACTAGGGTTTCCCATTCTTTTTTCAACAATCATCGCTATCGACAAAGAGTGGCTTGAAGATTTCGTGCATTTTTCCTAACATTTTCCACCATCTCGGGTCGGCAGGTGGAAAGGAAAATTATTGATTGGGGTTTGGAAGGAGAAGGAACCCTCCAAGAACAAGCAACAAAGGAAGGGTTCTCTCCATTGCCATCCTATCAAATCAAGATATAGAAAGCATATGGTAAAATTATTTAATTCTTGGAAGCACTATTAAAGGTTTGAAGTTGAATAATTTATGGGGAAGAGAGAGCGTTCTTTGGCCAAGTGGAAAGAGAACAAGGTAGGGACTACGAGGCCACTCATATCGCTTGGGCGATTAAAGAAAAAGGGTCGAAGGAGACATTCTCTTTCTCCATCTTCTCTTGCTTGTTAGCCCACATAAAGATAGAGGTTTAAACTAATCCATGATTAAAGTAAACAAACGCGAGGATTAGGAAAGGATTAAGTGGGGCGACTTTCGGACCGAGTCTGGGCTAAGTTAACGCGACGATGCATCAACATGAGTTAGCTTGATTCGCTTGACATCTTGCGCGGCACGTGTCGTTTTCGGGGTGACGGTCTGCGTGTCGAGAAGGCAAAGCTTTGATTTTCGAACAAATCACGAGCCCTACTTTGTTAATTAATTTGTTTTCGTTTATTTCTCTTGTTAAATGAGTTTTATCGAGACCCTTTTAAAGAATGTTAAAACATTAGCCGGAGACCCAATACGACTACCTACTTTCTTCTGCTCAAAAAGGAAATGAGTTTAGTCCACACCTAATCGGTCGGGAACAACTACCTTAAAGTGGATTCCTCCACTCATATCACCTTTTCATGGAGATGCGGCGATTAAATTTGTTTAAACTAGAGATGGCATCTTATGGTGCAAAAGATATAAAAATGGGTGTTAAGGTGTGTAAACCTTAGGTCCAAATTTTGTGGCCTTAAGTGAAGGCGATAAATTTTGTCTCGAACCCTTTGTTGCGTTTGCTATGTCACCTTTGCATAATATGGTATTTTTTTTTAATTTTGTGGCCTTTGGTACCTAGGGCGTCAATTCAAGGCACCAAAAATAAAGTCGTTTCGCTAAGATGATGTATGACTCATCTTATTTTCGCCACATATTCGCAAAAGAAAATAAAAATTTGTTGTATTTGCAGAATCTGTGTCGACAAAAATTCATCGCCTCAGGTCAAGAGTTGGCATCTGTCGCCTTTGATAAATTTTTTGTTGTGTTAGGTTTATTTTTCGAGTTATTCAAGAAGACAGCTGTTTTATTTTCGTCGTCTTAGTCATCATTAGTTTGGACACGAAAGTTCATAATTTTATTACTTTAGACACGAATTAGCTCGACAATCAATTTCATTTATTCAAATATAAATACTATATTAACAACAATCCAAGGTAAAAGGAATTGAATATTATAAGTATTTAAATCTAGCAAAAGTCCTCTTGGTGTGCGACAACATAATTACAAGGTCAAAAAATAAACGAACACTGCTGTAAATATTTTACGATTTTCAAGAGAGAGGGAGAGAAAATTAATAAACATTACATTTTTACTTAATTAACTTCACTTTACACTTTATTAAAGAAGGGTATTTATACCCAAACAAGATGCATATAAAAGGAAAGGATCTAACAATGAAATTAGCTATTTTAGAAAATAACTAAATATCAAATAATATCTCTAATATCTAATAACATCTCTAAGAATATTCTTTAAGAGGAAAATCTTTAATCTCCATAAATATACTTCATCAATTGCAAATAATTGAATCCAGCAAAAGCCTTCTCGGCTCAGCGTCGATTCCACTCTGATGTAGACACTTGGCTGTAGCAAAAGACATAAAATAAAATTTTAAGGTATTTTACCATTAATAATAGATGCTTGAATTTTAGACAAATTTATCATTAATTAAGATGCTTGAATGTTAGACCAAACAAACATATAACTAAACAAAATTCTCATCGCGGCCGCGACCCTAGAGATTCAGAGTCACAACCTTGGCCGCAATCGTGAGGGCAAAAAAAGGAAAGTAAGATATGAAAACTCATCGAGGGGCGACGGCAACAATGGGCGGCACAATGGGTGCGAGGACAATGGGCATGGAGACCGCGGCGGGGTTAGGAGTGATAAATAAATATTAGAGAGAGAGTAGTCTGTGTTTTTTTTTTTAATTATCTTTTTTCATTTTTGGCCCAATCCCGCCCATTTTATTTTTGGCACCCAATTTAATTTTGTGCTTGTTCTGCCGCCTTAATTTTTGTTCATTTTTTAAAAATA